CTCCCCCCCGCCCCGACTCACACCAACGGGAAAAGACACCGCAGCACGTTTCCGTCCGATGGGTGTCCCGTTCCTGGTCCCTGGCATCGCCGGGCACAGGCACCCATCAGCCCCAGCCCAGTGCTGTCAGAGGAGCATCAGTGCTTGAAACACACCCATCCCTGCCCTCATTCACACTCACACAACAGCAAAACCCCCAAACCAGGCAACAGCAGCCACCAGTTTGGCACTGATGCCTTTTTCAGAGGGATTAAATTCCTTGCCCGTGGATGATAAAAATCAATGTTATGTCCCATTGCCCCCAAAACAGCAGGCCTCTCTTCTGCTGACTGGAGAGGGATTTTGGGGCTGTCCCAGTCTTCTAGGGGGAAGTGGGATGCTCTGCACCCCTCTGCCCATGCCACCACAAACCAAAGCTACTGCTGCCCCCATGGGGAGCAGCCCCCAGGGTCCCTTCAGGACTGCCCAGGGTGAGGGTACCAGGCAAGGCCCTAGAGTGCAGACTCACTTGCTCCATTAACCTTGCCCACAGGGCCAGGTCCCTCTAGTTGCTGCCACCAGGCTCTCTGTTAGGCCCCAAAGCCCTGGTGGGATGGTGGGGACCCCCTTGGGTCATCCAGACCCCTCGTCCTCCCAGGTGCATCAAACACCACAGTCCTAGGATTATCTACCATTGATACCAGGGAGTCCTATTTTTCTTGCTGTTGTGCAAGCACCCATCACAGTCCCATGGCCCAGCTTTCCTCACTGATCTTTGGGCTCTTCCAGTGGCTCTGCTAAACCCCATGGCACCTTCAAGACTTTCTCCACCCTGTGGGGCCATGCACAGGGCCACAGGGCCACACTGGCCTGGGCCATCCCCACAGAGCCTCAGCTGAGGAGGGGTGGCAGTGGGTGCACCCAGGCCCAGGCCAAGCTATTAAGCTATTTGAGAATCTCAGGTGTTTTTTTTGTTTGTTTGTTTGTTTGTTTTTAATTTTGAAATCTGGACTTCCTGCCAGCTGTTTGCACTGCATAAAGCAAGCAAGGTTGCTCATTGGCCATTTTAAGCTCCCTGAGTTTTCTTGCACAGGTATGTTCAGTTGATGAATCTCAAAATGCAGGATGTTTCCCTCAGAAAACTGGAGAAGCAAATGTTTATGTAGCTTTTAACTGGGTCTTAATTACTTCTCACCCTTAATGGCCACTATTTGTGCTCAAGATTAATATATGATTTTTTAATAAATTATCCATTTTTAGGGTGTTAAATCTTCATTCTCATAGCCTCTTTGCACCTGTGGCATTTCCCAAGAAATCTGGGACCAAAGCGATCATTGACAAGTAAATCATGAATAACTTAAGTGAAAACAGAGGTTGTACTGGTGTCAATGGAAGGAGACTCAGACAGGCTTTCCATCTGAAGCTTTGTTTGTTTCTTTTATATAGCCCACCCTCCTTCATGTCAATGTTAAACTATTTTATTTAAAGGAATTGTTACACATCCCTCATTGCCTATCCCGGTGGTGTTGCAATATCTTGAAAATCAATTTAGAAATTCCAGTTCAGAATTACTGGCTACCTGGCAACTATACCTTTGCAGTGACAAGCAGAACAAGTCTTGTTCCTTGGAATGTCCTTCCAAAAAGCTCCAAACCCGGTCACCAACAGGAAAAATTAAGTTCATAGGTTTTCAATCTTTTTAGTTTGACACTAAAGTTCAGGAAGTCATGCAACTGAAGCCTGGTATCTGCTTTGAGATGTCCTTAGTCTGGCAATAGTCTATAAGCATCGCTGCTACAGGAAAAAAATATTCTGTGCGTATGGAGAGGCAGAAGATGGTTGCTTTCCAGAATAACTGTGTCTACGTGCATTGATTTTGCAGTTTTCATATCCATCTGCTTGCATATTAATGCTAATCATTGACTTGAATATGGTTAATAGAGCCTTCCATCATCCATGCAAATAATAACTTAGGCAGCATGATTCAGATGACATTATTATCTCTTTTGTATGTATATTTGCTGTTAACCCAAACTTCAAAACTGAGTTTCCAACAGGTTTCCTTATAACCTCAGCAGGGCAATACATAGTGTCTGATTATAGATTTATAGAGGAACCCTTAGATTTCTCTTTCAGGTCTTTTTGCTTCTCCTTGTATAAACCAACATCTTCCCATACCAGAAGGCCCAGGTAGGAATGATTATCACTTTTTTTTTTTTTTATATAGCAGACAATTTTGTAGCCAAGTATTTGAAAGTTATTTTCTTGTCCCTCTGTACATTGAATTGTGATGTGTGTTTGCTCTTATCCAAGTGCATGGAGGTGAGAACTAACCATAGCACATATTTCTTAACTTTCCGATGACCTGTAAAATTAAGAGATATTGAAATGTAGCTGCTTAAGCACCAACCATGAGTGGAAGAATATCAACAGTTTAGTCTCAGTTGTAATGTTGACTTGCTTTCCTGGTTGTTGGCAGGTGACTTAGACCCAATGTTTGCATCACATAAACACTGCTAAGAATAAACCTTCAAAAGAAATCATATCTTTTTCTTGTTGTTGTTATCAAAATTGTTAACTGGATTATTAATGGTTAGTATGTTAATTTGGGTTTTGGTTGTTTATCTAAGGAATTTAACTGAACAACTGAGTCAATGATCATTAGAGGTTGTGAGTGTATGAAGAGCCAAACCAGATTTTTTTCCCATGCA